GTAACATTTTGAAACGCAAGCACGGCACATGCGCACTGTAGCTCACAGCAGGACTGATTCTGCTCTGAGTCCAGACATTACAAGATCACACACAGAGCAAGAGGTAGTCCCAACAACAGTCATTTTGGGAGGGTGCAAACGTACTGCAAAAGCCTGCTCGCTGCTCATGGGACTGTTATATGGCCTGAACTTGGCATACATACCCTCTGCAATGTGGGAGGGTATGTTTTGATTTTATTCTTCATTGAGAATGGTTAGACAGTTTTAGCTGTTGATTTTTAATTGTGTTGATTTTGTTTCATTAATATTGTAATTGCATTATTAAAAGTCCGCTAGTCTGGACGACTGGTTTAAATGTTGAAATTGCACTGTTTCAGTGTGTAGGTTTTTATTGCATATTTGAGTAGTGACTATATTATCAGATCTGTGTTGGATGTGGTGTACATGAAGTACTGTGTATTTGTTGTTTACAACTCACAGCAGCCTTATCTCCTTTTCAGTACAAATTCTAATGCAGTACAACATAATGCACTTTTAATATTTGTACATGCTTTTTTTTTTTCATTTAAATAGAGGCATAGATAATCTTTACATCACTGCTGAAAGTTTAAGTGGCAGCTTCTGTTCTGATCCTCACACAGAAGCTGTTTTGAGCATCTTTGTGTAAGTTAAATATTTTTGATCTTACAGGTTCAAATCCCGGCCTGGGATCTTTCTGCATGGAGTTTGCATGTTCTCCCTGTGCATGCATATATTCTCTCTGGGTACTCCAGCTTCCACCCACAGTCCAAAAACATGACTGTTAGGTTAATTGGCCTCTCTAAATGCTCCTTAGGTGTGTGTGTGTGAAAGGTTGTTCGTCTCTGTGTTGCCTTAGAATTTTGAGTAAAATGCTGCTTGTGCCTATGAAAAACAAGTAGGCTTTACTTAATTTGTTTAATATGCTATTGGAGATTCTCAGTCATCCAGGTCATGGTCATTCTAAAATTGTTAAAAAAAAATCCACTGGACTTTGTTTTCAAGTCTGACAACATTTCGCTTCCCATCCAGGAAGCTTTTTAACATTTTAATTTGAAAAAGCTTCCTCGATGGGAAGCGAAACGTCTTCAAACTTGGAAAAAAAGGTGTGGATTGTTGGATTTTTTATTTTTACTTTTTGGTGATTCTTTAAATTAATCTAACTTATAACTTGGATGTAATTCAATAAATGTTACTTAATATATTTCACAACTATTATGTCTTATGAAAAGTAAAATTCACTTGATACTGGTAAAGAAGTGTTTATATTGCAGCATTATATTTTACTTAAATTATTTGAGTGTAAATAATTACTTATATACTTATGCTTATATGTACTTATATTTTTTAAGAAAACCTTATGAGTCGTTTTTCAGTGAAACGGCCAAAAATATGCTTAGAATCATATTTATCCCATTAATCATTAAAACAACCACTGACCCACACAAACATATACACATGGAATATACATATACAATCACATAGTTGTTACAGTTAAAAAAAATAAACAAAGAAATCATATATATACATATAATATACATACATAGCTATATGTATAGGTTAATAAAATGGAATTAAATAAAAAGCAAATGTTGTAAAGAAATAAATAGTGCATAAATAAACTGAATAGGATCGCGTTATGTGCCATGACATTGAAATGTATTAAATACAGCCTGACTATAAACAAAATAAATAATCACATTTGCTTTTTTTTTGTTTTTTGTTTTTTTTCATTTGCAAAAATTACCAACACATTCAAACGTTATTCAAATATATTTTCCTGGATGCAGCCGGCTCTTAAACTCGTATTCAGTCAAATCCAAGATGAAAGTAACAGGACACCACAACAAAGACACTGAATCTTTGATGGCTTCCCCAGATAACCTGAAAAATAATGAGAACCCAAAGAGCTCAACCAATGCTGTCAGACGAGCAAAATAAAGACTTTTTCACATGCAGAGCATTCAACTTGTTAATAACAACCAAAAGCTGATCCCCTCTTCCTATTTCTGCACCCCTCCTCCTCTATCTGCCTATCTATCAATCAAGCACGCAGATCTGGTCCAGTAAGTGATGCATTCGCTGCATTAGATGTATTTGTTGTTGCGAGTTTGAAAAGAGGGCGATAATCTGGGCGCTAGAGATAAGAAATGTCATTTATTCCGAGGCACTTTGGAGCCTATTCCCAGGGCCGATCAGCTCCTTTTCTCCCCGACACCTCCAGCAGCTCGCTGATAACGATTAGGCTATTTATTATCTTCACAAAGAACAAAGATTAGGCGGCACCGATGAAAAGTTACCCCGGGATAGGCTATAATCAGTGCGATACGAGGAGACCTGTACGCGTGCAATTTTCTCTGATATTCTCAACCACAAAAATGCGTAGATTTATTTAATACAAATATTTCATTAACTAGAGGCTAAATGCTGACTACAATGCTATAATAATAATAATAATAATAATAATAATAATAATAATAATAATAATAATAATAATAATAATAATAATAATAATAATAATAATAATAATAATAATAATAATGTATTATTTTTAAGGCCTATTTCTTTTGCATGACAGTGGAACTCCTTACAAAATGATCAAATCCTAATCATTGTGAATGATCACCCACTTTTCTCAGTTTTAACCCATCAGTATTTAGCGGAAAAAATATATATTCAAAGTGTGGTTGAAATTAATGCGAAATCCTTAAAAAAAAAAAAAAAAAAAAATGTGCAGTGCATGTTCTCGGCCGATAAGGTTATTTATCGCCAGGCCGGATCAAAAAAGGAGGGGAGTCACACTAAAGCATGTGTGTTTCCCACATTATCATGCTGACGAGCTCTAATTCACGCTCACTGCTTTCTCCAACTCTCTTTGGTGGATTTCCTCTTAACAGGCTTTATCTGCTAGAAAAGAATAGGAATGTTCAATCTCAGTTACACCATGCTTGGCAAGCGATTGAAACCACAATCAGTAAACAGATATATCAAGCCACAAGAAGTGAAGATATAAACATAACAATATAAATACTGGAAGATAGATAGATAGATAGATAGATAGATAGATAGATAGATAGATAGATAGATAGATAGATAGATAGATAGATAGATAGATAGATAGATAGATAGATAGATAGATAGATAGATAGATAGATAGATAGATAGATAGATAGATAGATAGATAGATAGATAGATAGATAGATAGATAGATAGATACAATTTATATCCCCCTAGTTTTTGACATTGGTTGTATTTATAATTATTTTTTGTCTGATGAGCCAGAGTTTTTTTTGCTAATGAATTTGGAAAGCCTCTTTGCCATCACCTTAATCATCAGCTCCTTCTAACAGAACCCTCAGATTCAACCTGAAGTTCAGTTTCGGCCTGTCAACATTACGCAGCTTTAGTCACAAGAAAAACGTGGATACAATAGTTTATTTTAACCAAATTCTGATAGAAACAAAATCAATTATTCGAATCAATTTATTCAGGGTGTGTAGGGTTTGTTTTTATTTGTATTTTCTCTTCAATCAGGATGTGGATGATGTAGTTATAGCCGATATGTGAGCTTTTATAAATACCCCTACAATGTAAATATCTCCTGAAGTTCATCCGCTGGGACTACAAAAGGCTTCCAAACAACCCCCCACACTGTCCAGTGCTGCTCGGCTCGGTCCTTCCTCTTGCTAAGAGAGAAAGTTCATGTCCTGCAGTGTCGTTTTTTTCTGTTTTTTTTTTTTTTCCTAAAATACAGTGACGTCAGGAGACGGCGTCAAGCAGGCGGCTGCGTTGGCCAGTCGGGACTGCACGCGCTCCCTTTACAATTACTGTCTGTCAATCATGCACGAGTCAGAAACAGAAAGAGAGAGAGAGAGATGGAAGTCACGCAAAATAAATCTATTTAGACATAAATTTCCATATTTGAGACTTACACCTCTTTGGTTTCTCTTTATGTTGTTTTAAATCATGATTTAATTAGGATCAGTTAAGACCATAACCCAATTTGGTTCAATGTACACATGCATCCAGACCAGGCACAACCCTCAAACAAAATGGACTGACAAATAGTATTTATGCTTTTACATATTACTTCTGTTAATGTATTATTACACTTAAATATTTCAGATTATCAAAAACAAAACAAACAAACAAACAAACAAAAAACTAATACAACAATAAGTAACAGCAAAATTCAATAAAGAGGAAAGCTCTCAAATTAACATGTTCCAGAACTGAATACTGCCAGGCATACATTCAACACATCAAGCCAAAATAAATTAAGATACATATTTCCCTGAAGGTTCACAAAGCCAGAAGGTGCTGCTAGAGCTATTATTCATACGGAAACATGGGGGATGTTCTCAGGAGTGGTCAGCCTATTTTACCTTTACAAAGATCAACCATTAATAGTTCAGAACGGAATCAATAACAACTCTGCAGGCCCCCTTATAAGTTTTCATGATTCAGCAATAAAAAAAAGAGACTGAGGGAAAATGGGGCATAAAAAAGACCCAAACTGAGGATGACCCAACCTTTTTGAAAGTGTGAATAAAATACGATGTAAAACTAATAGAACGTTTCATAAAAAATAAACATAGTGGTTCAGTAGGGTTGCTTTGCTTTTTATAACAATCATAGTCTCTCCTGTCTCTCATCAACCGAAATGCATGCAAAGCAAAACTGGATGTCATCTGTTGTAGCACAGATTGTCTGCCCCACAGAATAAAACGTCTAAAATCAAACTATTCTTGTTGCAATCACATTTAATATGTTTTTACAAATCATATATATTTTTTCAAGTTTCTCAAACAGCCTAGGCTACTACTCGGATAGGCAGACGATGTATTGTTCATAATGCAAACATATATCTGTGATTTTCTGGCCAGAGATTTGCCTCTGAGGTTTTGCATGGAGGCAGACTTCAATTGGCTGGGCCCCAGACTCAGACTCCGCCCTGGTCTCCTTAACTAGGCTGGCCCCGCGCTGTCAGGCGCAGTTATGTGCGTCGGAAGACTCAGCGGACTCTTTACTCTGACAAACTCTGACTGAAAGACGACCTGCAGCGCGACACGCAGAAAAGGAAGCTTTTTCTTTTTTGTTGGTTTTTAATCAAATCAAAGTTTAAAAACACCCTACTAAATAGGTAAGGTTTGTTCAGGTTTCTGGCACATACTGATTGCCTTATGCGCAATGATTTGAGTGAAAGATTTTTGAGACTGTACTAGTTGCACTGACTCATAATCATGGCATTAAAATGTTAATTATTTCTTCCATTCTTGCAGTTTGTTTATGCGCAAAAGAGGAATTTAAGCGAGAACTGAACCATATGGACGCTGCAAAGATATAATAAAAGGACTCTATTTTAAAGAACCTCCTGGATATTTACTCTCTTTATAAATATATAAACCAGAGAGCCCTCATAGAGCACCCAGGGAGAGATAGAGATGGATGTGGCTGCTGATCAGCCCCGTTGGATGCATCCCCACGCAACCATGCTGAATGGACAACACCCGGACTCCCACCACCCCGGCCTGGGCCACAGCTACATGGAGCCCACCACACAGCTGCTGCCTCCAGATGAGGTGGACGTTTTCTTTAATCACCTGGACTCGCAGGGAAACCCTTATTACCCAAACACAGCCCGGGCCAGGGTGTCCTACAGCCAAGCGCACGGTAATTTGAATAAAAACCCCAAATGTCATTACAAATCTCATATTTTGACTCTGAAGTTTTACTTGTCATTTTTTTCATTTTCATTTATTTATTTTATATCAACTGTCTTGTTGTAGCCTATGCCACATTTAGTTAGAACAAAACTGGGATTTTAGGGATTACATAGTTTCAGATGAGACATTTAATTACTTCTTAGGGTTTTATTTTACAAGAGGAAAATAACAAGTCAATTTGCATCCAAACTCCCCCATACATCCTTAAACCAATTCTCTACATTTTTTCTCCATAGCTCGTCTGACCGGGACTCAGGTCTGCCGGCCTCATCTCCTCCACAGCCCGGGGATCTCGTGGCTTGACGGAGGGAAAGCAGCCCTGTCGGCCCATCACCATAACGCCTGGGCCGTAAGCCCCTTCAGCAAACCCAGCCTGCACCATCCGGGCTCCGCTTCCCCAGGCGCGCTCTCTGCTGTCTACTCCTGCAGCAGCAACTCAAACGCGCCCAGCGCATCTTCTCTGACGCCGCAGTCTCAAAGCAGCTCCCACCCTTACACTTTCCCCCCTACACCACCCAAAGACGTATCCCCGGACCCGGGAGCCGCGTCCCCTTCCTCCTCCGCCGCCCTCAGGATGGACGAAAAGGAATCTATCAAATATCAATTGTCTTTAACGGACAGCATGAAGATTGAGGATTCCAATCAGCTGAGAAACAGCCTGGCTTCAATGAGCGCACAGACCCCATCTGCCCACCATCCCATACCACCTTACAACCCGTACTCCCTCCCAACGCCCCACGACTATGGCAGCAGCCTGTTCCACCCGGGGAGCCTGCTGGGGTCCACGCATGGCTTCCCCCACAAGAGCAAGAGCAAGGCTCGGTCCTGCACCGGTGAGCAAAACAATAAAAAATAAAAAAATAAAAAAATAAAAATAAAAAATAAGAACCTGGAAAATAAATAGTGTGTATTTGTAGAAAGGCTTCCTGTGAGTTTTACAATGATTTTAGATTTAAATCCTTAGAAGAACACACTGTATTTTATTTTTAAAAGCAGCATCGGCTTATGCGTTATTCAAAGCAGTATTTGTTGGGGCCACTTTGCCAATGCGCCATTCATGGTGTATTCATCTTTACATCAATGCTTTTGATTATTAATGAAGGTAAACAATCATAAGAAATATTAGCAGCTTAATTAAATGTGTATTTGACTGTATATTATATTACAATTCCGTTGTGTTGGAGCAATCTTGAAGCCTTTATTAAATGTGCCATATTTAAATCAGACAAAAACAAGTTAGTTTTAACCTGTAGATTGTATTATTTACAGAAAAGGTGTAGACTAATCATAAATTCTTACAATACCCTAAATTAAGTTTATGGAAAATTAATTTATATTAATCATCAGGGAGAAACAACCTGAAATGATGATACGAAACCACCATTATATATTATATACATACATATACATTGTAATAGTTTTTTTTTTATAATGAATGAGACACTTAAAGTTTTATTGACAAAACTTTTATTGATTAAAAATACCTTTGCTACAGCCCACCCTCCCCCAAAAATTGCATAACATTAATTAGTAGTTATATTATTTTAAGAGTAAGTTAAATTGTAATAAACTGATAAAGATTAAAACAACACAAAAACACACTATAATTGCAGTTTTTATATAGATAATTTTCTTGCAAATGATAGAGTTAATGAATAGTTTGTTTGTCAACCAGTTAGCAAAGTCACTCAAAGCCCTCTTTGGTTAAGTGTGACCGTGTGATTATAGTAGAGTTGACTGCAGCACCAGAAGCTGCAGGTTACAGAGAACTGGATCCGAACCAGAGGTGTGAAAGGAAAATCCGTTTTTGGAGCCCAGAAGAGAGGGAGACACAAACATGATATTTAGACAGAGAGTCACTTCTCTGTTACATAAGACGCTGTCCTGATTGTTTGGAGACACTGTCCTTACTCACTCTTACTTGATTACAGACCAGAAGAGATTCAATCAGGCTGTTGTTTCAGATGCAAATAAGTTATATAAACAGAGAGTTTTCTGGCCTCTGAAATCTAACTGTTGAACAAAAGTTTCTATAATACTGACCCACATTACTTTCCAGGGTGTTTGTGTAGCATCACCCATAGTATGCATTGAAACAAACTTTGCTGCTTCTTAAAGATTTGATAGTTTTTTGCAATGTTATAGTTATTGAAATGCAAATTGCAATGTGATGCTGTTATATATAAATTTATTTATAAAAAGTTCACTTTCCTAACAGTTTTTTCATAGTTTATTGGTAAACTGACTTACCTATGCATGCATGTTCCTTGTCAGAGGGCCGTGAGTGTGTTAACTGTGGAGCCACTTCCACACCTCTCTGGAGACGGGACAGCACTGGACACTACCTGTGCAATGCCTGCGGACTCTACCACAAAATGAATGGCCAGAACAGACCGCTCATCAAACCCAAACGGAGGCTGGTGAGTCTTGTACCCCCTCTACATAGAAACCAACAACATTGTGTGTGCATTTTTGTGAGACAGAGTACATAAAGAGAGTGCGGGGTGAAGGGTGAAGGGAGGAGGAACAATTCCTGGAAAGTTATATTTTCCCAATCAGTTTCCAGGAATTGTGCTCCTTATTCACCTATTGCACCTTTGGCTCTGGCAGCAAGTAACAAGGGGCTATCTGTGTTGTTGGTGTTATCATTATTACTGCTACCTCTGATAGGGTCATTGATAGCTGGGCCAGATGGACATTTCTTGAAGCAAAAGAATTGAACCTGCTGTGTGCTTTTCAAAATTGCTGCCAAAAATGTAAAATTAGTTAATAGTAGGCATGCCTTACTATTATTATTGTTGTTCTTATTATTAGATCATTATTAACATTATCATGACTTCAAAGGCATTGATATAAACTGTTTAGATTATTAAAAAAAAATTTCGTTTGAAAGATGTTTTTTTTCAAAGCTATAGTTTATGTGACCAAAATCAGTCCCAAATAAACAAAGAAGATTTGCACATTAAATTTTGCATTGTTAAAGTATCAATTTAAGAGTGCATTTGGTCCCACTCTGAATTAGTGTTAAATTAGAACTCTGTAGTGTTAATTTTACTCCCGTTGTTGTAACACTGTAAAATTTACTGTGTGATTCAAAGAAAAGTAAGAACTTTTTTGAAATGACTATGACCTGGATGACTGAGAATCTACACCAGCAAATATGAAGCGTTATGGGATAGACATTTTTCAGGCTTTTCAACTTAATAAAAAAAACTATATATTTTTCTTTTAATCATATACTGCCCTCAAACACCAGCTTTGTGGATGGATATGAAAAAAAAGCCACAAAAATTTCGTTTCATTGCTTACACGTTTTTTAAGCATTCATAACGTTAAAGAATAGAATACAGAATTATATTTAAACAAATATGTTATTTAAACCCTTAAGTAAAATATTTTAACCCATTACATAAACACTTTCTGAAATGGTTCGGCAGGTATGTTTGGAATGCGAAATAAATAAAATAAAACAAATAAAAATATATGTCCCAGTATGGGATCATACCTTAAAAAGAAAACTACAAAAAAAAGTGTTCCTTGCGAATTATAGGATCGTTCCCCTTTGCTCCGGCCGTCATCAGCCCGGCCTGCACTCAGACAGACGCTCGTATATCAGCTCTGGTTTCCGTATCCAGTTCTGCAGAGACTCGCAGCGCTGCTCCAAGCCTCTCGCTCAGCTCAGCGGCAGCACCCTTCCAGCTTCCTCTCCGGATGTCTGACCGCTCCAGATAAAGCAGCAGCAGCTTCCTCCTCTGGCCGCCTATTGGCCTGCACCTCATTTTTTTTAGTGGTCAACCTTTCCGTCCACCGCAGAGATGGAGCAGCGAATGGAGTTCAGAAAAAAAAAAAGGAACATTGGGGCATTTTTGGAAGCTGGCATACGTAAAATACCATCCTTTAGGCCTAATTAGGTAAAAACAACAAAAACAACATATAAGGCTACACCATTTTGGGTCAACATCTGGAGAAATATAAATAAGGCGTCCTTAAAATAAACAAGGTGATGCAAAGAGTTAGAGGTACACTGGGAAAACAACCTACAAGGAAAGAAGAAAAAAAAAAAAACACACAAACGAATAAAAAAAAAAAAAAGGAAAATAACAAAAAATAATGACTCAATTTTATTCTTTAGATTCTAATTAGTACAGTATTCAGTATTTCAATAGCTTTCATTCAACTACATTGCAACTGTTAAAAATAGACCTAAATAAGAAGGGGTTGATGATCAAATAATAAAAGTAAAATAATAAAATTCTCTTATACTCCAGTCAACATGTACTTTACATTCAGCAACTTTCTTAGACTCAAGGGAAAACTTTAACTGGAGCATTTGGCATTATCTTTTACTTTAAGCATTAGTTCTGTTGCTTGTTTGGTTAAAGACTGATACAAAACTTTTAAAAATATTTTTACCTTTACTTTAACTAGAGCTGGATAAAAGTTGTTATAACTTTTCTAATACGGTGGTGTATCAAACATTTCCTTGACTGTCCAAAGATAAGATTTGCCATTACTGCTTTAGAGTTAAAACACCCAGCTTGCTAGAAACTTTAATTTTAGAATGAACACTGTTGCTGATATATATAAAGCTGGAAAAGACAAGATTCTTAATCCAAAATGTAAAAGGTTCTCAGTCCTCAAGTCTTATAACTGTTTTTGAATTTAGGTTAACAGATTAATTTAGACCACGATTCATAGATATCAGCCTTTATCCTATCTACTGGAAATAAATAAATAAAAATAGAAATACAAACGCACTGTCTGAACCATTGTTTTTAATTCAGTTTTAGTCGCAATGTTTTAGTGGGACTTATTACAAGTTTAAGTAGTTAACATTGTTCAACTCTATCCATGATTGAACATTGGAATTATAAAATAGTATGTATGGTCATGATATAAATAGGATACATACTAATGTTAATAACTTAGCAAAATTCATATTTACATTGCAGAGTCAAAATGATCAATCTGCTAAAGAAAAGCGGTGCTTGTGAAAATTAGGAGGCAAATAATGTTAACTTTAAAACATGTTCATTGTATTCTGTTCATTTTAAATTATTATACAGATAAACTTATTTTAAATAATACTAACTAAACCTACACTGAAAAAATCACTCAAGATTTACTTAAAAAATAGACTGTATTTGCGCACAAATTTTTTATGTAAAATTTAATGCTGTTATACCAAGTGACACTCACTTGCCAGCATCAAGTTAATTTTACCTTCTATGAGGCATAACAGTTGTGAAGATTAGTGAAGTATTATTTACTTAATTACATCCAAGTTGTAAGTTAGATTCATTTAAACAAATGAAGTAAAGTGCACTTGTTTTTCATAGGCACAAACAGCATTTCACTCAAACTTTTTAAGGCAAGAGACAAACAACCATTCACGCACACACTCACACCTAGGGAGAATTTAGAGAATCCAAGGAACAGTCATATTTTTGGACTGTGGGAGGAAGCCGGAGTACCCAGAGAGAACCCATGCATGTTCAGGGAGAACATGCAAACTCCATGCAGAAAGACCCCGAGCCGGGAATCAAACCCAGAACCTTCTTGCTGGTGCAATTGCTCAGTGGGGCAGTGGGTAGCACTGCCCCACTGAGCAACGCTTAAACTGAAATTGTTCTTTTCAAATATGGAATGAAAAATTTACAACCCTCTGAAACTGAAAGTTTCAACATTTGTTACAGAAACTTACACAAACATGCTCAAAACAACTTCTGGGCGAGGGTCAGAAGAAACAGCCACTTAAAGTTTGAGCAGTGGTGTAAAGATTATGTATGCCTCTATTTAAATGAAAAAAGCATGTACAGATACAGTATTAATAGTAAAAGTGCATTATGTTGTACTGCATTAGAATTGTACCAAAAAAAGATAAGGTTAGTATGAGTTACAAACAACAAATATATTTCATTTACACCACATCCAACACAGATCTGATAATATAGTCACAACTCAAATATGCGATATAAATCTTACAAACCTACACACTGAAACAGTGCAATTTCAACATTTGAACCAGTCATCCAGATTGGTTGACTTTTAAGAATGCAATTACAACAATAATGAAACATAATCAACACAATTAAAAATTAACAGCTTAAAAAGTCTAACCATTCTCAATGAAGAATTAAATCTCTACTAGATGTTTCATGAGATGATTGCGAAATAACATATCTTATTTGGCAAAAAATAAAAACCATTAATAACAGGGAACCTTCCACTAAGATTAACTGGAACCCACTGCTAATTCTTGAGATTTGATGCCACATTTTCCTACCCTAAGATGACAAAGTCATGAATGCATTTAGGAAAGCAACTTCAACTTCAGGGTTTTTACTTTTGGGGACAGTTTAAATCCATCTAACTCCAGGAAAAGTTTTTGGAAGACTTCAAAACTGTAGCTCAAAGTGCAAGGGTATGCGATGTTCAGGGCATATATCAGTCCCATGAGCAGCGAGCAGGCTTTTGCAGTTCGTTTGCACCCTCCCAAAATGACTGTCATCGGGACTACCTCTTGCTCTGTGTGTGAACCTGTAACGTCTGGACTCGGAGCAGAATCAGTCTTGCTGTGAGCTACAGTACGCATGGGCCTTGCGTGCGTTTCAAAATTTAAATTTTTAGAGTAAATTTTATGTAGTATTTTTATGTTTATGTACATACTGCTATTAAACATTTAAATAGTATGAGGAAATCTAAGTAAAACCTCCTCTTTCCTCAAAATTCAAGTATCAGGTTTAATTTTCTTTAGAACTCTATTTTTACTGAAGCTTTAAAATACAGAGTAGAAATTAAGACGAATACTCTAATAGAGTTTACTGCACCAAAAAGTCACTTTTTACAGTGTATAAGAAAAAACATTGTTAAGGCAAAAAGATCCAGTTTATTTCCATTTGTATCAAACATGTACAATCCAATGAAAACAGGGAATGCCAAAATAATTGTGTCCTTTAAACAGGTTCAGAATCAGCTACATGGAATACAAGTACATAATCATTTCAAAATATGACAGTCAGATACAGTTAATTATTTAAGGCCATGTGGTTCATTTATGTAGACTCACTGCCTTTGAAGCAATTTCTCCTTCTGGACAAGGATTTGACAGAGGTTGACAGATAATAAACAAATCCTATTCATTAAAAACAAAATCAAGCTTATCTCTGATCTACACGCCCCATTTAAAAAAAATTGGTTACCAGGAAAAAAAAATGTTATCTAAAAGTCCACCTGCTTTTCTATGAGTGCTGTTCCATTCTAATCAAACTGAAATATGAATTAATTTGCAGTCGGCTGCCAGACGAGCAGGCACCTGTTGTGCTAACTGTCAGACGACCACCACCACACTCTGGCGGCGCAACGCAAATGGAGACCCAGTATGCAATGCCTGTGGCCTCTACTACAAGCTGCATAACGTAAGTTTCCTCTGCATCATATTAGCGCCATATAACAGGTTATGTAGATTTATGTAATTATCAAGTGAGGCGGTGCAATTGTAGAGAACAGAGGAGGAGTTGAGGGGTTTACTGCTTAGACACTTTTGCTCTGATTTATCTGTTCTCCTTTTATTGTGTGTTATTGTTTCCACGGTAGGCGTAATCCCCTTGAGGATAACAATGGTGGGACTGTTGCTGGGGCTCCCTTCTACTTGAATAGCATTAATGCAATGGCATAGACAGACAATATGGACCCTGTAGGTGCATAGTGGCAAAAGACTGATTATTATTATATCATGATTAGCAGGCCTACAGTATTAGTCATGGCCAAAAAAGGAGCAGTTTGGTATTTTTTCTAAATGTATTTACTAATAGTTAATATCCCCAAATGTTTTACAATGATGCACAGCCTTTTTTACTCTCAAGCTGAAGGTCTCCGCTTAAGTCCAGCTCTGATCATTTTATTTGTCACCTGACTACCAGTAAGGGGGAGGGGCAGCACTAGACTATTTTATTTTTTGTATAGTTTTTTCTTTGGACGTAAAATCTGTCTGAAAAAGAAATAAGACCAAAAAAAAATAATCAAAAAAATACATATCTATGTATGCTTATCTTCTGACAGTTACAAGATAGAAAATAGAGCCATTTTGGAATATAAATCTAACTATTTTGCACCTTTTTAAAAAGATCATGGTTGACTGTGTAAGTATACTATATGGCAACTATTAGCAGTTCTAATGGAATTACATGGAAGGTGATTGTCTTATCATTAAAAAAGAGATTGTTGGTTTTATTTTTACTGCAGATTATGATGAGAGTGGATGGGAAAATTGACATGAAATGTCTTATTTGGACACATTAACCTGGCCTTTATTGTTGATTGAATATGATTTGTACAACAAATTTATAATACAAATTTATTTCTTATTGTTTTAGATTAAATCAAATAAAACAGATATAAATTAGATAGTACTTTTTCTGATCTCTATTGATCCTATGAAGCTAGCAAAAGTACAAGGTGCTGATATAGACTGGTTGATTGGTGTGACAGTCTGCTGAGGTAGTCATCTTAGAGGGAGCCGCTTAACATGCGTTATTTATTTAACATAAATGGAGTTTTATAAAAGAGATAGTTGCAGCTCCTTTAGTTTCTGTATTATGACTGCCCAGATGTATTGTTCAATCACATGTCTTGTGAATAAGACATAGTGGAGTAGCATTCTGGTTTCTCTGGCATTTTTGTAGGCTCCTATTAATAGAACCTTAATCTGCTGAATCTTCATGACAGAATGTTTGACCTGAAAACCAGTAACTTGCTCATGCCTAAACACCACAGTACTATGTTATGTCTCATAGAGTAGTGTTACATCTTTGCCTTAAGATTTAAATGTTTCAGTCAGATGACTGGATCCTGTTGTTAAATCAGCTCCTGTATGTTTTTATGCTGATCTATACTATCTAATTTATGAGCCTTACTGACCTCCTTTCCTGATCCTTCCCTTCTGCAGGTGAACCGGCCTCTCACCATGAAAAAGGAGGGAATACAGACTCGGAATCGGAAGATGTCTAACAAGTCCAAAAAGAACAAGCGAGCCGGCGACAGCTATGAGGAGTTCTCCAAAAGTCTGCATGACAAGAACTCCCCTTTCAGTGCAACGTCACTGGCTGGTCACATGACCATGGGCCACTTGCCACCTTTTAGCCACGCTGGACACATGCTCCCCACGCCCACCCCTATACACCCCTCATTTGGACATCCTCACCACTCTAATATGGTTACAGCGATGGGCTAAGGTGGAGACACGGACCTCTGCAGAGATTTGAAAATGGTTGTACAGGTGCTGGTCATAAAATTAGAATATCATGAAAAAGTAGATTGATTTCAGTAATTCCATTTAAAAAGTGAAACTTGTATATTATATTCATACATTACATACAAACTCATATATTTCAGATGTTTATTTTGTTTAATTTTGATGATTACAAATGACAACAAATGAAAATCTCAAATTCATCATATCAGAAAATTAGAATATTGTGAAAAGGTTCAAAATTGATGGCCCCTGGTGCCACACTCTAATCAGCTAATTAACTCAAACCACCTGCAAAAGCCTTTAAATGGTCTTTCAGTCTAGTTCTATAGGCTACACAATCATGGGGAAGACTGCTGACTTGACAGTTGTCCAAAAGACGACCATCGACACCTTGCACAAGGAGGGCAAGACACAAAAGGTCATCGCTAAAGAGGCTGGCTGTTCACAGAGCTCAGTGTCCAAGCACATTAATAGAGAGGCGAAGGGAAGGAAAAGATGTGGTCGAAAAAAGTGAACAAGCAAGAGAGATAACCGCACCCTGGAGAGGATTGTGAAACAAAACCCATTCAAAAATGTGGGGGAGATTCACAAAGAGTGGACTGCAGCTGGAGTGAGTGCTTCAAGAACCACCACACACAGACGTATGAAAGACATGGGTTTCTGCTGTCGCATTCCTTGTGTCAAGCCACTCTTGAACCACAGACAGCGTCAGAAGCGTCTTGCCTGGGCTAAAGAGAAACAGGACTGGACTGCTGGTGAGTGGTCCAAAGTCATGTTCTCTGATGAAAGTAAATTTTGCATTTCCTTTGGAAATCAAGGTCCCAGAGTCTGGAGGAAAAGAAGAGAGGCACTTCATCCACGTTGCTTGAAGTCCAGTGTAAAGTTTCCACAGTCAGTGATGGTTTGGGGTGCCATGTCATCTGCTGGTGTTGGTCCATTGTGTTTTCTGAGGTCCAGGGTCAACGCAGCCACATACCAGGAAGTTTTAGAGCACTTCATGCTTCCTGCAGCTGACCAACTTTTTGGAGATGCAGATTTCATTTTCCAACAGGACTTGGCACCTGCACACAGTGCCAAAGCTACCAGTACCTGGTTGAAGGACCATGGTATCCCTGTTCTTAATTGGCCAGCAAACTCTCCTGACCTTAACCCCATAGAAAATCTATGGGGTATTGTGAAGAAGAAGATGCAATACACCAGACCCAACAATTCAGAAGAGCTAAAAGCCACTATTAGAGCAACCTGGGCTATCATAACACCTGAGCAGTGCCACAGACTGATCGACTCCATGCCACGCCGCATTGCTGCAGTAATACAGGCCAAAGGAGGCCCAACTAAATACTGAGTGCTGTACATGCTCATACTTTTCATGTTCATACTTTTCAGTTGGCCAACATTTCTATAAATCCTTTGTTTTTATTGGTCTTCAGTAATATTCTAATTTTCTGATATGATGAATTTGAGATTTTCATTTGTTGTCATTTGTAATCATCAAAATTAAACAAAATAAACATCTGAAATATATGAGTTTGTATGTAATGTATGAATATAATATACAAGTTTCACTTTTTAAATGGAATTACTGAAATCAATCTACTTTTTCATGATATTCTAATTTTATGACCAGCACCTGTATATGACTGTAAAGAACTGGGTGTAAAACAACCTGCAGAGATGCAATGGATACGTCTTTATATCCTATGTGTCTTGATTGATTGTTTCAGTCACAGGTTGAAAAACAGAAAGGCGCTTGTATTCTTTCATCAACAGGTACAGAATGTGCTGGAAAAGCTTGGGGCCTTCTTTTTCTTTTTGTTTTTTTTTTGCCAGGCACATAAAAAACATGTCTTTGCACCATATAAGTTTGTCCCCACTGACTGCTTGAATAGTGCAGGTTCAACATGTGCTGAGGAGGTTTGTAGTTACTGTGAATATTGTAAATGTGTGAGACTGGGGGAGCAACCCAGACAGAAAAAAAAAAAAAAATCCTTTCACCACTTAAAATATGCCGGCCTTTTGATGATTTTGAAAGCAGAGAAAACTTTCATTTTAAAACTGTCTATTATAAATATTGTTATTGTAATTAATATTGTTATTCAGATAATTTATTTTCACTATTGTTTCTTCTTTTGTCTATATTCTCTGATTTATGATATGGATACAGCTATTGAGGTTCTGAGTATATTTTTAGCTGAAGCGCTTTGTCTGAACTGGTCAACCTTTATACTCTAACAAATAAAGAGATTAAGTTCACTATATCTTCCCTACCTGCTTGCTGTTGTCTGCCAGTCTTGAAACTGAGAATGGATTCAGAAATTGAGAAGCATATGACAGGTGAAATTGTTATTTATTCAATTAGAGATGCAAAAATAGTTAAAGTTCTAATATTGAATAAATTACAGGCTTCAAGTCAAAGTTTCAATAAGACTAATTTGATTCTATACACATTTACATTCTAAGATTAACAATTTATTTTCAGCTCATTTTAAGGTTGGAATGAACTGGTACTAATGTAAGAAAAAATATATATTCCTTCTAAATGTAAATTTTGTTATTTAAGCACGTGAAAATTTGACAACATTCTATACCTTTCTGTGTTTTCCTTTTGACTTATTAATAGTAAGGTTAACAACACAGGTTGAAATTTTCTGTAAAACATATTGAAAAATTATATTTCCTGTAAGGCATAAATTAGGACATACACACTAATTCCGACTTAAAATAACCCAATTTACAGAAAGCTATGATGCATCAGGTGCACACGATGTGAACAGGAACATTATCTTTTCTTAATAATTTTAAGCAGGTTTGCCCCGTTTACAGGTTGGACCATTAGTTTAGTCCACTCCTAATGGGTAAAGTGACAGTAAACATTACGGTAAGATCTTATGCACTGTCTGAGTACAGGCAGCTTATGAGATGGAAAAAGGTTTACGTAAAGAGGCCTCAGAGTAATTTGTATGGACCATGGCGAGTTTAAATACTGTCTACATATCGAGGGAAATTCAAAACAACTGGTAGCATTCCGCGGGTAATCTTTTCAAGGGAATGCATCCTGAAAGCAGAATGCAAAATATTAAAAGAAGTCTCAAATAGCCTAAAATATAATCTAGGTACATATGGCAGACTTTTTTCATTACTGATATAGAAGTGAATGCCTGAGTGGTGCTCAGAAATCCTGGGAGGAGTGCAAGGATGAAAACCTTTGCTTTCTGAAATGAACTAAAGTTTGCCAGAAATAAATTAAGCACATAACAGGAGTAATGTTCTTAGTACAGATTAGTCAGAAAGAGAAACATCTCAAACTCCTCTCCTGCGAATGTCAGAGTCTGGTTGACTTCAAGATTCATCTCACTAAAGCTGGTTTAAGTAAAAGGCTTAGACAATAAATTTTGTTTTTTGTTATAAAATTTAGTTTTATTAAGTAAAGCAAAATTAACATTTGCTGTTTAGTGTTTAGATTTAATCAACCTCTTATCACATAATCTCAATCTAAGCTCAGACATTGTTCGTCTAAAACTAGATTTATAGAAGCAAAAATTACTTTCAATATGAAAAGAGTAAAACATAAATTCATTAGTTGATTACTTTCAAAAGGATAGCAATTCGATTAGTTAGGGAGATAAAAATAAATTTCTCTCATGGATAATTCGGTTTATTTTAATATGATTAAAAGACTTTATAGTAGCCTGTACTTCCATTTATTGAGGTTCTGATCCTATTTCAGGTCACCTCGTTAACATTGAATTCAACAGATTATCCAAAATATCTAAGCAACACATTGCTGGTCATGTTGAAGTCAAGAACACCAATGCAGAGCAAAGTCAAGACTAAACCTTTGAGTGGGGTTAAGCCAAAAACCAACATGAGACCATTTTAAATTTCTTCCAAGAAGCCTTTAGCGCTTACTGAAAACAGTTAGATAATTTTGAGAGGCTTCAGCCAGGAGTTGCACTCTAAGTTACAGTTAAAAAACGGATTCACCAGCTGTGATATGGGGAAAAAACAGCATGAGATGAGACAGAAGTAAAAAAAAACACGGTCCAGACTGAGACCGGATCAAGGGCAGGATGGAAAGTGCGGTCAGTCTTGAGCACTGTGGGTATTATTTGTTATTATGAGTGGAATGTCGAAGCCTACTTTAAATCACTAGTTTTTAATGTGGCCATCTATGCTGTCTTGTGCTACCATTGAGCTTCCATGAGAAACACAGAAGTGAATATGTTAGAGTTTTAAATATCCTTAAACGGGAGTATGCTTCAAAAACTATTGTAGGAGTTGTTTGCTGGGTCAGCCAGCGCTAAATGCTTCAGACAGCTTCTTCATCAGAACCAGCCGACACAAACCTTCAATAGCCTCTTGCCTGTTTCTTTAACACATTGTTAATATCAACTTCCCTTGCTTGTCTGTCATCAAGGCTTCCTCTTTCTGTCTGTTATATGTTCTGGGCATACCAGATTTCATCTTGTTGTCTCATTTGTTTCTCCAGGGGGTTTGATCTGTGCCAAAGAGACCTCTGCTCTGAGCTGTTGTATATTCTGCAGGTCACTAAAAGGTCAGTTGAAAGGCAACATAAACAGCAAAGACACTTGGCCTCCAGCAAAAACTCTGCTCAGTGATTGGGTCTCTTGTGTCCAAAGGGCCTTGCTGTCATGCAATAAAATTGTTTGTTTTATGAGCAAAAGAAGGGAGCAAGAAAAGTAGTGTCTGGATGCTGCTGTTTATAGATTGGTGTTTTTTCTTAAATGGTGGAACTGATAGTTGTCTGGGAAGTTGTCAGAAGTTGTCAGAAGTTGTCTGGGAACATTAAGGGGCTATTTAACGCTGCTGATCCAGTCAAGGCAAAGGTTAAAGTAAGAAAATTCCCACCTTTTATTTAGCAGACACCATTGATATAAACTATCTCTACATAGCCCCTATTAGGCACTTTGAAAGGTTTCTTCTTCATATTAGTGGTCTTAATTTGTTTTTCCTCTTCTTCTCAAATGTGTTGCTTTTATGCTTTGATGGTGCTTTAAGTTACCTTGAAAATCAGACTGGAAAGTCAGAGTTACTTTATCTGTGAGGTGAAAGGGTTCCAGTTTCTTGCTTTTCCTTCTCCATTCCAGGGTGGTTTTCAGGATCCTGGATTGGGTTTACCTGGATTGTGAACTGCTCCAAACACCAGACTCTGGCACAGTAAAGCATTATGTAGTGCCAGTTTATTCTAACCAAACTATATCTCCTAGCAGGCCTTAAAGCTCTGATGTCACACCAAAAGTTATTTAGGGACAATAAACAACTGCTGTTCTTTCACAGTCTGCCTGCATTTAGAGAATACATAAACTGAGCTCCATGCTTAGAAGCACATCACTAACCTCTCTCTCGTGAGGTTGGTTGAAAGCTGTCGCCCCCCCTTTTTTTCATTAGACAAGTATATATATTCAAAGACAAAGTATGGAGCACTCAGAACTGATTGTCTGCAGGGCCTTTTACTGCCCTCTTGGTTAAAATTGTCGAGAAGAACTGCCTTTTATTTGATAAACAGGGGAGCCAAAGAGAATTTGAAACTCAAAATTTCTTCTTTTTGAAAGTCGACTTGAGTTGTCGTGCAAAAGAACTGACTGCCGGCTCAATTCCTTCATGACACAACAAAAAGGATCACAAGCATTCAGCCTGATCTGGTGCAGAGCTAGATGAGAAGTGTGGCCAGAAACATTGCACGAGTTGCCTCTGCTAGCTTGCTTGCTCCTTTCTCTTTAAGTTGCAGCACCCCTAAGCCCACTCTCCCAGCAGAAGTTGCGGTGGAGCCTCCCTTACCTACAGCTGCAACCTTCTAAAAGCCTACAAACCATCAAAGAGGCACACTGCTACCCCAAAGTGGAGTGTATAGGCTGGTACTGCCTGTTTGACATTATTTCCCTACAAGTCAAAACTCAGTGAGCCCCCCCTAAAAACATGCAGCATCTCCCCTTTTGTTCTGTTGGTCAGAGTGCACTGTCTGACCTTTCCTGCTGCAAACAGGCCAAAAGTCACAGCTGCTGGCTTCCCTTTTCCCCTAAACCTTAGCAGCTGATAAGAAAACCTTTATTCTACCGTAGATGTGTCTGGTAGGCAATAGGCTTTCATAAGAATCTACTCCTCTTCTTTTTCTCTCAGTATTTTCTCTGGATTAGCCATATTTTTGTGAATTCTCTGGGTAAGGGGACCAAAGCCATCTGCCGGTAGCTTCAGTCGCTTATTGACAGTTGTAAAACGTAGAGGTGTGACATAGCATGAATTCATTCAATTTCATGAAACCATTTTTGCCCTTTCAGAGAATTATTATTATTTATAAAAAATAAACAACTTAATTGCGAGAAGACTAACTCAAGACTTCTCGTGACACTGAACATGTGATGTCTTATAATGGAAAAAAAGGTGGTGGATGCATCATACTGTGGGAATAGCTCTCTTGAGGAGGGTTCAGGAAATTGTTCAAAGTTGATTGCATAATGTCAATATAAGGGAAATCCTACAGGAAAACTTATTAAGATGAATGAGCGTTGGAGAACTGCGGTGTGTCTTATTAAAATAAACAATTCCACTTGGCATATTTAAACCCATTAAATGCATTCTACTAAAGTGTGCTGAGACCCTTCTTAGGGTCATGGAATATGTTTCACTTAGTGAATTCTTAAGCATCTTGCCTTGACACTGCTAACCAGAAAGACGCTTGATTAGAAAAAACAAGAGCATGCTTACTGATCTACATGGAATGTCACAGCTAGGTTTCAGTTTAGCAGATAAAACAAACAGGGTAAGCTTAAGAGCCATAAACATCTAACTACAAAGGAATTCTTAGATCAGAACAATATAATGTGTTAGAACAGCTCAGTCAAATAATTGAAGAACTGAGACATATTTCAAAAACACTTAGAGCTACAACTGCATTATTGACTGGACAGGGGTTCAAATGCAAACCACACTTTTCTGACTTATTTCAAATGAATTAATCACTTCCCTGTTTCGTGATATCCTGCTTTTGGTTGGTCTATCACATCATTAAATGAGTTAATGAGTATAATATGACAAAATATGAAAGAGGTCCCAGAGTAAGAATATTTTGCGTTGCACTGTATCTGTATTTTGCTCTGCCACTGAAGGTGGATATTGAAAACTGAGACAGAAGAGAAAAGCTGATTTGCTCCAGCAAACACTGACATATATGGGGCATGAAAAGAGCTAAGTACCTGAGATGTTTTGTCCTTTCTTCCCACTGTCCTACCCACCCGGCCTA